GGTCACAGCTCACAATCCAACAATAGCAAGTCCGGAGACAGTGCACGGGCAGACTCCGTACCAATCAGTGGGTCACAGCTCCACAAATCCAACAGACCCAAACCCGGACAAGCAGAAAAACCAAGAAGATAAAATAAAACCCTAAAAACAAGCGTCTCTAGAAACACTACCTCCCTAACAGCGTAAAATTAGCAAACAGTGCCAGATTAGAGCAAGGTTAACCTACCTCGGCCACGAGGGTTTTCTTAATGGGGGGACCAACGATGTCGGGTGTCCCTAGGAGTCTCTATCGGGAATTGGACGGCAGATAAATCCCCTCTCGGGAAACTTGTGCACCCAAGCAACAAGTCGCAGTAGCCGCGGCGGAAGGCTCGATCCCCAAACTCGGGAAATTTCCAACCAATATTGCAATGACCTTCACCAGGCTTCTGCCGCCATCAAATCCATCGAGGAAAAAAGGAGTCCCAAAACCCCGTTCACCACCTTAAATATAAGTCCTCAGCCACAAAAAATTGGAGGGAATCGAGGCCTGAGAATAGGAACCGATCGAAAACTAACAAAACAAAATAACCCTAGGCACAATACCAACCTAATACTTCCAAACCAATACTTCGGAAATCCGGAACAGGACTACTACGGACTTCGATAGAAAAATCTACTGCTTCGCTGTAAAGCAGCGTTGTATAACGTTGGAAAAAAAATAAAACCCATTAATTAATTAATTTTCGGGAACTATGCAACCGGTATTTTACCAACCCACAGATGCCGCGCTAAGCCTCTAATCGGCGTTAGCCACATTCACTAAAGACTCTCGCCCAAATAATACGACGGTCCTAATCTTTAATAAATTAATATATTAAATACGCCAATAAAGGGTAATAATAAAACGGAACCGTGACAGAATTTATACGTTTAAAAGAAGAAGAAATCTAACTTGCGAACAAGCTAAAAATCAAAATATTTTTTTATATCCTCGAGGGGAGAAAGATTTAGATCGGTATAGTTAATTTCACGATTCTTTTTTAGAATTTTATTTGGGCTTTTTCGAAGTTTTTCTTGCAGGGATTGTAAACTAGAGCTATACGAGGGAGCCATTATCGAAGTTGTGGAGTCTGGTTAGAGAGACGAACCTGGATAAAGCCCTATAGCTATGGAGAGGGTCACAATAGATCCTTTGGGTCGCAGCGACGGACAGGCTGACTGCTAGCTCTCCCAACTGTTAATCTAATCTACAGGGATTGTAAAATGGTCGCCAAACAGAACTAGCATACTCAAGCACCGAACATACAGAAAACATATCCTATGGTGATATTCTCTGCTTCTTTCACAAGCCGAAACAAGGTAACGTGGCAAACAGACCTTTTGCAGTTTACGAAATAGAAACCTAAGACTATATATATCAAAGAAAAAGAAAATGGACAAACCGCTATCATCACAACTGCAACAAGAAACGGGTAAAAACGATTCTTTAAAAAGCACCCCCAAACCCGAACTGTGCCTGTTTTGTTTTCGTTTTACTAAGTAGAACAGTGAGAAATTCATCATCAACGTTCCACATATTTCGAATAGCGTGGAAAATTTATACGGAAAAGTTTGGACGGGGTAAAAGCTTCCAACACGAAATATTCGACACGGATTTGTTGAAAACTTTTTATTTTAACGAGCACGGGTATCGACCCAAACGTATATATCTGCATAAGGAGCCAAAAATTGAAAAGTCGTAAATAATGTTTCCAATTTCGTTTCGTATCTCCGGGCCGAAAAGTAATCAGTTTCGAATACTTTTGGCCACCGAGTTATGTCGAGTGGGGGAAAATATCCGGCGGAAAACAGGAAATATCAGACACGTTGACCGCCATATACGTCCAACGATAAACTTGTACAAAGTAAACTCATTCATCATCCGACACCCTCGACAAATTGACCTCGACGACAAAAAAAAACCGATACTTGCTTATACTCTGCGCCACTTGCCGATATCAACTCTCCCGCGTCCTTTGTTCGGCAGCAACAAATTTACGATCAATTTAAAATTCTAAAATAGGTAAAAGTTGAAAGTACAATTAAATGATGAACAAGAAAGTCACAGACCATATCCGTCAGGAAATTTAAAAGTCGAAACTTCAACAAACAAGATCGCAGCGTTAAATTTAAATTTGAATATTACTACGACCATTTGAGAGCTCCCTATAGTTCAGTTGTTAAGAAAATTGACGAGCATTTGTTTGTATTGGGTTGTTCGGAAAGTCATTTCGTTTTATTGGGGAACATGAAAGACAGTTTTCGTATAATGAATAAATATTATATTAAATTATATATTGGCCATTCTGGTCCAACACCTTTTGCCATCTTTCTGGCAGTAACATAATTCCCCTCTCATAAAAGTTTTGGTCCTTGCTGGCAAAAAACTGGTTCAGGTGGTTTTTGACATCTTCATTTGAGGTAAAGGTTTTACCATCCAAAAAATTTTGCAGGGACCGGAACAAATAGTAGTCGGAAGGCGCCAGATCTGGAGAATATGGTGGATGTTGCAGTACGTCCCATTCAAGCTGTAAAAGTTTTTGGCGAGTGACCAAACTTGTGTGAGGTCTCGCATTATCCTGGTGGAACACTACACCCTTCCTGTTGATTAATTCGGGCCTCTTCTCTTTAAGTGAATCATTCAATTTGTCCAGTTGATGACAATAGACTTCTGAATTAATCGTTGTATTGTCCGGCAAAAGCTCAAAAAAAAGATTCCTTTGACATCCCACCAAACGGAAAGCATCACCTTTTTTTGGTGAATGTTGGCTTTTGACACGCTTTGAGCCGGTTCATCTTTTCTGATCCATCACCTCTTGCGTTTAACATTGTTGTATACAACCCATTTTTCGTCCCCAGTAATAATCCGCTTCAAAAATGGATCATTTTCTTGACGTTTGAGGAGCGAATTACACACGTCAACGCGACGACACAAATTTCGCTCCGTAAGGACATGGGGCACCCGCACATCGAGCTTCGAGGTTAAGCCCATGCCTTTTAAATGACCATAAACAGTCGAATTTGACAAATTTAATCTCTCACCGATCTCTCGTATGGTTATTCGCCGATTTGCATCAACTAATGCCTTTATCGCATCTTTGTCAGCTTCGACCGGCCTTCCAGACCGTGGTGCATCTTCGACATCAAAATTGCCGGATCGAAATTTTGCAAACCAGTTCTGGCACTGGCGTACTGTTAACACGCCTTCTCCATACACATCCGTCAATTTTTTTCTCGCTTGGACAGCATTTTTACCATTTCTGAAGTAAAAAAGTAAAATATGACGAAAATGCTGCTTATTGCTCTCCATATTTAAAAGGGCACCAAACAAAAACTACTGCGTAGAATTAATAGAACTTTTTCACACGCAAGCCTTGCAATATCAGCTCTCAAGACATATAATGGTTATGCGGCTTAAGTTGAAGTTGGTTTCGAAAAAACGTAATTAAGTCCTCTGACGGGAAAAAACGAAATGACTTTCCGAACAACCTTATATATAAAAAAAGCATTTCATGCAAACACTTAGGTCTTGTTATTGATGTGAATTTAAAATTTAAAGCGTTCATGTATAAAAAAGCATTTTCAGTGAAGTTATTATATTCGCACCGACATTCATTATCTCAAAAAACCAAGTCACTTCTGTGTGAAACTTTAATACAATTGGATCATATCGATCATTTCTGGATTCTGTTGGTATTTACAGGATATAAAAAGTTCAAAATTCTTGTATAAGGCTAATATTCGGAATTCGGCGGAGGCAAAGAGTTTCATATAAACTTGAGGAGTCTGTATTGTAAAATAATTAAGTCAAAATGTCCACCATATCTTCATAAAAAACTAACACGTACGGATGTTCATGTTCATAAAAAATAATTTTTCAAAAAGTGCGTTTATAATTAATAAATATAAAATAAATGATTTTACCCAATGTATTCGCTCATTCAAATGACACATGAAATGCAAATTTTTGAAACGTTGATAATTAGCACGACATTTTAACGATGGCATTATGCTTTTTATTTGTATCCTGTCATTCTTCTATACCGTTCTCTACATAAGATAAACTCCAATTATTGTATTTAAGGCGAATATGAAATGTTGTAATATGTATTATTTCTTGGTTATAAGTTGGTTAGCTGGCTTCAACAACACTTTCCTTTGCGAAGGAATTTGCGGCCCATTATTCCTTTGTATAGCTTCATATAACTTATATAATAAACATTACGATTATTATTATTATCCTTATCTGCTGTTGTTTGTGTTCAAATAATATAATTACTATAATTACTACCATTTGCTATTACTCTAGGCACCATTGACAACTACAGTGTTTTATCCATACAATCTGCACCATTTCTTTTTCTCTAATAAAGTCCTTTAAATATTATTATAATAAAATATTATATGTAAATCGCATTACAAAAAATGAACTAAATACTTTCTAACTAAATCGCCTAGCAAATGTCTTTGGGGGTGTCAGGTTTACCCCCTGCCGGTAAATGTTTCGTAGTGTAATCCCGACAATAAAAATGGGGTAAACTCGACCCAACGGTGGTCTGTGCGATAATAGATCGTCTGGTGATGAATTTTATCCTAAATATATTCGCCAAAGCTGCGGCGCATTTTTTTAAGTTAGTTTGTCCACTCTCATCCTGTTGATTTGTTGAATGGACAAGTGCGCATTAGTGCGCATTATTTCGAATATCTACCCTGCGCCAGCAATAACTAATTCTATTGTATAATTTTTGTATTATCCCAGCGGCAACGATTTTATCAATTACCGTCGCTTGAACTGTACCATCTTCATCGGGTTGACTCAAAGGCAAAGAAATTGAAGCACGATATAACGATCTCATTTGTATAGCAGCAATAATGGGTATGAATTTATTTAATTCGGAAATAATCTAAAAACAACGATATTCGCAACAATTCAAAGGTTGTTCGAATATCAGGGGTACAAAAATCATAGTGACACTTACCATGAAACAGTCCGGGCCTTGCAAGCATGTGGTCTGACCTCCGTCGCTTGAAAACTGAAAGAAAAAAAAACGCGTTATCATCACGTGAAGAACGACAATTTAATTTCAATATTAATTAACCGTGTGTAGCGATTCCTATTCGAAATAAATAAGATTCGTGACAATTGGATTTAACTACAAGTATATATACTCAATGTATGAGGAATGAGATTTAATTAATACAAAGATGAAATTATAAATAATAAGTCTTCCTTTGGTGGAACAGTGCCGAATATGACTATGCTCGCAATGGAAGGAAGAAGTAATTCTAAAGCAACCCGTTACCTGAGTAGGATGGCACGGAGCAAGTATCTATGGAATGTTTAATTAGCAGAGCTACTAATTGATTTGACCTGTTTTTCTATTTGTGTTCAGTTTAAAATTATTTTAATATTTTCATAATTTCTAATAATTTAGTAGAAAGTTGAATCTTTAAACCTGATGTTTTCTTGACTGATTTTCGTAATGATAACAAAATATTTCTTGTTGATTGTTGTGTTATTTTCTTTTGACTTTTTGTTTTGTTTCGTTTTCCTATTACAAGTGTTACCTAGCTGCTGTTAAAAAAAAGAAATTGTTAAGGCAACATTACACTTTAAACCAAAGAACGTATCCAAAAAATTAATCCGCAACAATATCCTTGTCTCTCATATTTCGAATAAGTTGCAAGGAGCTTAATTCATTGGAAATGTAACCTAATTCCCCATGCAAAAATTTCAAAAAAATATTACACTTCTCGTTATTAATTATACATTTTCGGTTGGATAAATAGCTAGAAGCTATAAACTATTATATAAACTATATGTAGGGGTATTATTTTCGATGTATAGAACTTTAAGTTGGCATTACTGTTCAAGATGGCGACCGATTTAACAGCTGTCAAGTATGATTTATTCTCAGTTTGGTTTGGCAATTCATCATGAATAGACTCACGCCTGAACAACGCTTGCAAATAGTGCAACTTTATTTCGAAAATAATGGTTCTGTGCGGAATACGTATCTTGCACTACGTCCATTTTATCGTCGACAAAATCTTCCATCAGAGCAGTTAAATCGATTAACCATGGAACGTTTTCGCACCACGTTTACTCTTATTGATAACTCGCATCCCCAGAGATGCCGTACGGTGCATACAGAAGAAGCTATTGCTGCTGTAGAGTGTAGCATTGAGGAAGACCCGAATGAGTCCATCCGCCATCGAGCACGGGAATTGGATCTGTGTCCATCCACTTTATGGAAGATTTTGCGGCAGGATCTTGGTTTACGTGCTTACAAAATCCAACTCGTGCAAGAATTGAAGCCAAACGATCATCAAGTAAGGCGTAGATTCGTCGAATGGGCCCAAAACGAGATTGCCGTTGTTCCCGATTTTCATAAGCGAATTTTGTTTAGCGATGAGGCGCACTTCTGGTTGAATGGCTACGTCAACAAACAAAACTGCCGCATTTGGAGCGAAGCTAGTCCTTAAGTGTATGTCGAAATACCGTTACATCAAGAAAAGCTGACTGTTTGGTGCGCTTTATGGGCTAGTGGAATCATTGGTCCGTACTTCTTCAAAAACGATGATGGCCAGAACGTTACAGTCAATGGTGATCGGTATAGAGCTATGATTACTAACTCTTTCATTCCTGAATTGAATAACCATGATGCCCAGGAGATGTGGTTTCAACAACACGTCTGTCTGTCAAAAAAAAACGATTATTATTTGTACCATCTAAGTTCAGCGATTCTTGAAACTTGAAAGCTAACTTTGGTATGAGGAGTAAATATTGGGCTGTTGTGACCAATTGTTTAGTAATTTTAGGTTAACAAAATGAAAATTTTGCATTTTAACCAACTAAATAGTTTTGCAACAGCCCTCCATGAAGTTTCTCTTTGAGTGCCGCAAATGCGGACACATTCACGAACACGACGGAAAAGAAAAAACCAAATTGACTTAAAACTAACCATCATCGCCTTCGTTTTTCAAATTAATACACTGCGAAATATGTATACAATAATACTCGCGGTCGCTTTCGGTTTCGACGAAGTCATTTAAACAGTCCCACTGCGAAAACTTCAATCGACTTTGTTCAAAATTGCCTTTTATTTGAATTGCAAAATACAAAGTTGGAGAAACACTATCGAGTTTGGAAGTAAAAGGAAGTTTAAATGCATATTCCGGAGCATCTGTACCGCGTGGTGTCGTCGGCGGGCCCGCGGGTAGAGGGGAAGGGGGGACTTGCGCGCCTGAAACTTTTAGTTTGTGCGTTTTGCATTAATTATTCGGGTATTAGCCGGTTTTCGAGTTTGTTTTGGTTCCGTTTTATGCGACGCCCGCGTCGGACCCCGTAGGCGGTCCTAACATTATGCGAATAAATTTAATTAATGCCGATCCCGGAACAACAATTATGTAAAGGCCGTTTTAAACAAGCCCGTGACAATATAACGGGCTGACTGGTCGGTCGAAAAATAAATGACCAGAAAACACAAAACATAAGTTTTTTTATTACCAAATTGCCATAATTTGGATTATATATGTCCCAATATTTTTGATCCAGAGTATAAAAGTATAACAAAAATGTCTGTGTTGCATCCCCCAGCAGAACCCCTTATTTATGACATAAACTTTTATTTTATTTTATTTTTTGTATTCAGGAGCTTATACACAACATTCCTCGTTAAGACTTTCGCTCGCAATGCCACCGTAATTCATGATCTTAATGTCGTTGGTCCTAAAACATTAATTTTTGAGTCAGCCAAGTTAAAATCTAATCACCACAATGAGCCCGTTAAATATATTTTTTTTATCTCATCCCGTCTTCAAATTGTTCGTAGAAGACCACCCCCTAAATTATCTCGAATTTTAAACAAAGATTTAAAGAAAAATCCTCAGACTCCGTCCGCATTTGAAAACTTTCCATTTGTGAAAATTCTGAAAGAGGAAATGTCTGAAAAATTGCCCTGTACTGTGGACTAAAAGATAAGAGCAAATCTCCTTGGCGTGACGGCTGTAACGAAAGCGATGTGCAAAATATATATCCACCTTCTTCGTTGTCATGTGTATACTTGCAGCTCCCAATCGCAGAATTGTGTACAAAATATAATTTCACCAATCAGGAGTTGATACGTGGTATGAGCTTATCGAAATATCCAATTCTTGATCCGGACTCTTACGCAAAACGAAAAACACGAGTAAATGTAATTAATAAAAAAACACCCTGACGTGTTTGATAGTTAATTTTTGGGTGATATCAATTAATGATGTGACTGTTAATTAAATGAGTATTTGATGCGTCTTGAGCAAGTAAACAAATAAATGTTATATGGAGAAAGGAACTTTCAAACTGCAAGTTCAAATACAGTTTTCTCCGAACCAGTTTCACATGTATGTTAGGATCCCGAAACAGCTGAGGGTTGTGGAACTTGTTCTGATTGTTCTCAGACATTGCCATAACAAAAACTGTTCTGATGCAGTTAATCACCGGTCAGTCAGTTCAGTGAGACTTGAACGGATTACGGTGGATTGGCCTTTGATTAAAATACGCTCAAACCTAACCTCAAAACGATTTCAAATTATTTTCGAAGCGCAAGACTCCTTGTCCGTTTTAAGCACCGAGGCATCTGGTCCGATACTTCCCAGGCAAATAAGTTCACTTTTTATTAGAACGCTCCGTATAAAATACGCACTAAAGCCGCAAATCTTCGTATAACAGCGCCATTTACGGCGGCAGTTAAATCGACTGTATTCCATTCAAGCGGGAAATGGCTGAATCTTTATCTGACAATTGCAAGCATAACCATTACGGGGAATGTAGAGCCATTTTTCTCGAAACGCTCGTATCGATTTTGCCGCTATTTTGTACTCTAGAGCCTCTGACGTTGATGGAATTAATTTAATCGATTTCGCTAAAACGGCGAGTGTTGAGTTTTTGCAAGAAACTCCAAAGTTAAGGTTCAATCATTTTCACATCCTTAATTGGACCGATAAGCACTGTAAGTGTGTTTTCTTTATACTTTTCTATTTCTTATTCATCAATTGTTGAAGGTGACTATTGCATTGGCTCCATGTAGTTATTACTGTACAATATTTCACAAGGTCCGCATTGGTGATATGAAGGCTCCAGAAGATTCGCAGTAAGCACAGCATCCCAAAAGCAAAGAACGCACATCAATTCAAAAATACATTCGTACAAAAATTAAGACCAGTTCTGAGATAAATAGGATACCAGTACAAGAAATAGCAACTCCTGCGAATACATGTTATAGGGTAAAAGTGGGATAGATGCCCTTGGAGGATAGACACCACACCTTAAAAAAAGAGAATTTAAAACCAAATTCACGCTCTAGTACCAAGTTCCTCGGACAAATCTCGCCTCGCACAGCACAGTCTGCGCACGCGTTTCGACGTTGCAAAATTTTACCGCGCTTGCATGATTCTTGCGACAGTGACATTTTGACGTGTTCAGAACTTTCGTTTTCGAAGGTAAGTTTTAAGTGTGTATTGTTATTTAAATAGTATGTATCATTTATATTTATTTTTATTTATTTGCTGGGGATAAAAGGATAGAGGCCCCACTATTGACTGAGTATAGACGCCCTTAGAAGCATATATCCTCTATGACTTATTCACAGGTACTTAGGCTATAGGTAAGATTTTTTTAAATAACCTATCTAGTTAATATGCAACTTAGTAGGAAAATTGACTTTTCAGTTTATTTATGAGCTGTTTATACCTTTATATGTCGTACTTGACTGTACTTGTAAAAAATAATGCAGCGCATCACCTAATTTCATTTTTTGTTTTAGACAAAATGCCGCGAAAATATAAAAGGAAAATAGGGGCACCCGTTCGTGCTGCTTGGTCTGAAGAAGTCCTTTACAAAGCTTTTGAGGAAATGGATAAAGGCCAAGTCGGTGTAAATGAAGTATCTCGTCGTTATGGTATTCCATCTCGAACTTTGAGGAGGCGATATGCTAAAAAAAGCTGTGAAAAACTTACTTTGGGTAAGTAATAGAGGAACAAATTGCCTTAATCAAATTCAATTTAGGCACCGTCTTCTTAGTCAGTTTTTTTTCTGTACCTATTAATTTCTTCTTTTTCAGGAAAACATCCCACACTGGACTTTGACAACGAGAAACGTCTCGTAGCGCACATACAACAATTAGAAAAGGCAGGGTTTCCCACAACACGACAGGATGCAAGAAGACGAAGAAGAAGGGTTTTGAAAATTCTTTTAACAAAGAGACACGTATGGCTGGTCAGCACTGGCTCAAATCGTTTCTTGAACGACACCCAGAACTCAGTATTCGCCAGGCAGAAGGTTTGTCTATTGCAAGGGCTCAAGGATTAAATCGAGATGAAGTAAACGAAATGTTTGAATTGTTGCTAAAAGCACTAACTGAAAATGATTTGATCGATAAACCTGATCGAATTTATAATACTGACGAAACTGGAGTTCAAATGAACAATAATCCTGGTAAAGTTATTGCTACTAAAGGTGCCAAAGTAGTAAATTCCATCACTTCTAGTGAAAAAGGTGAGACAATGTCAATTATAGCTTGCTGTAACGCTGTTGGCAACTATGTTCTTCCGGTGGTCATTGTCAAGAGGGTCAATAAAAGACCAGAGTTCCAAGAGGGTCTTCCGCCCGGAGCCAACGTGTACATGAATAAAAAATCTGCCTACGTCAGAACTCTTTCAAAAGTGGCTGAAAGAACAGTTCGTGCCAATAAAAGCACAGGGCAAGGTTTCGCTTATACTTGACGGGCATTCATCTCACACTACTGCTATTGATTTGCTAGAATTAGCCGCTTGACCGGAGTTTTCTTAAACCTTTCAAAACTTCCTTCGCTTCATAAACTAAAAACTGGATGTTGAGTCACAAATATCGAAAAATAAATCGATACATTGCTGGAAAATTAATAGGTTACGCATGGGCTCGCGCTGCTACCTCTTCTAATGCTGTGAATGGGTTTCGTGCATGTGGTATTTTCCCGTACAATCCTTCTGCTATTCCCGACAGCTACTTTGCTATCTCTAATAACAGCTTTCAAAATCTAGATGAAGGAAACCTTGCTCAAGACCAACCAGTAGCAAGGGAACTCGACGCTAATGCTGATTTGATTTCATATTATGTTCCTGGTCCATCGTCATCAACTGTCAAGCCGGAGCCTGATTTCGGGTTCTTACTATATGAAGATCTTGCAGCAGACGCAATTGTTATTCCTTTAGAAGGAAATGTCAGTCCGTCCATCCTATCTCAGAATCATAATGTTGAAACTGTAGAAGTCATAACTCCAGGTGAATATTATCTTAAAGAATGTTCTCCGGTCGTAGAAATTCAAAATCTAGATGAAGGAAACCTTGCTCAAGACCAACCAGTAGCAAAGGAACTCGACGCTAACGCCGATGTGAATTCATATTATGTTGAGCCCCAGCCTGGTCCATCGTCGTCAACTATCAATATGGAGCCTGAAACTGTATAAGTCATAACTCCAAGTAAATATCTTAACGAATGTTCCCTATCCCGAAAATTCCTATTCCATTATAACAAGAGGCAAGCAAGGTGCTGCCGTTATAAATTCAGAAAGAAAGCTAAGTTGAAAGATAAAGCTAAGAAGCAAACACCAGACAAACCTAGAAAAAACAACCAAAAATCAGTTCCTAAAAAGACAAGACCGAGGTTTAGCTCTGGAAGT